GTGGCAGATATATCGAGTCAGACCTCCTGTCAGATTTGTGGATCACTGTGCCAGGAAGCAAATCTACCAGAAAGCCAACGCTCTCGATACTTGTCAAGTGTATGGTTAGGACCTTTGACGATCACTATGCTTCACAGTTCTTCAAGAGTGTGGTGCCCGACATGCTGGGGGGCAGGGGAAGCACAGCCACGCAGCCAACACACCGGGAGCTTGCTCCCAAACATGCTGCGGGGAAAGTCCCCGTGCCTTGGGGCAGAGAGTGTCACTGGGAGACCAGGAGACCTTGATCTGGAGCCTTCAGCGAAGCTTCGGTGGAGTTGTGGCTTTGGGTTCTGGTCCTTTGCAGCAGCAAAGACATGCTGTGAGCATTTGCAAAAATGCCAACTGAACGGGGCTCACTCTCTCCATGCCCCCTTTGTTCGAGCACATTGGGGATCAGTCAAACAGAGTCAAACAAGCACATGTGATTTTGCATACAGCTGTGGCAGATGATGCAGACAGGTGCCGCGTCTATTGAACTGCTTTTTTAGAACACAAGAATCACTGGATCAGTATGATTTACCATGAATCTACCAGAAAGTGTCCGATACTTTCCAACTTTTAACTGTATGGCCAGGACTCTTGTCGGTCCTCAACGATTATTTTTGAGTACTGGCAGTACTGGGAAGAAAAATAGACACAGCCTTGGAGCCACGGGGTGCTACACAACACAGATCAAAGACGTCCTGGCTTTGTTTCGTGTGCCTCATGTCACAACCTTGTCTTGGATTGGATTGGATGTTGCAAGATGTTGCAAGCAGCGAATATCTGGTCGAAGGTTGTTTTGACCTATTGGTAAGAGACTGTCTCCTTGGTTGATTGCTGTACGTCAAACAGTTGAGGGGCAATACAGATTGAGGGATTTCAAGTTCCATCATCGTTTAACTGCTGACCCTGCCGCTGCCATACTTTCATGTGCTGACTCCAGCAAAGCCAACGTCGAAGCATAAGAACAACATGTCACTGTATGTTTGTCAATTCCTCTGCACTGCCACTCGCATCAGCAAGGAATCAAGTCTGAAGGTTGAAGTACTTCGGAAGTACTATCTCAATGATGTTGTTGATTAAAGACATTTGATGACTAACAACATCATACAATATCTAACAACTACGTAGCTTCACAGTATCTACAAACCTTTTCGATGAAGACGTGCTGTCATGATGTCAAGCCCGGAAGAGGTGTGGCTTTGGACCTTTTGGTTTGTGTTCTTTTGGACATTCTTGCAGCTGCTTGCTGTTGCGTTTTGTTTGCTGTGCATAGACGTTGGAGCAAGCAGGTTGTGCGGTTGCATGGCAGACGAGAATCCCTACTGAATACTGTAACCAGACTGGGTTGCAGGTCCTTCCTGCAAGAAAATGGTTGCTGCTGCAGAAAGAAAGCCAGCAGGGGTCTTAAAGCAAGCTACGTGAACGTGTGGAGTTCAGGATCAGCGTGGTTTTCTTGAAAGCAATCCTGTTCGAGACCGGTTGAGACCGGTTCGAGACCTGGCCCCTCGAAAGGAACTTTGCGTACCCCTGGCTGGGCCTTACATAATCTGTGCCTGCGGAATTTCTGAACCAGATTGGAACATGTGGGGAACCTAACATGAGGCATGAAAGGGAACATGGGACATGACCCGAACCCAAACACACATCGCACCTTTTCTCGCTGACTCATGTCATGCGTTCGAACGACGAATGGCTCGGCCTTGAGCCAATGCAGGCATAGGATCGGTTGATCCGTGCACCATGGTTGGGAATCCATCCACAACGAAGGTTGACAATGGCCACATTGGAGACCTTCTGGATATCTAGAGCTTCAACTCATAGACTCCCAAAACTTGCATAGTAACCTTCACGGTCACAACTGGAAATGACTGGATCACGAGTGACTTCAACTTTCCACACCCACTTTTGTGACCGTCATTTGAAGAACAGTTGCGAACAAAGTGCTTGGAGCCAAAAGAACTGCACAAGCAGGAGGTTATTTGAAAGTCCAATCTTATCTGAGATTCATTGAAGACTTTTATCAAAGTCGTGACCGGAGCTCAGGCACGCTCAGAATGGTCACACCTAAGAAAAGCTCTGAGAATACTTCGCCGACAAATCAAGCTGAAAGCTCAACCGAAGAAGGCGTTCACTTGAACACTTTGGCTTCTGGCCAGAACAGTGATGGCGTTTCATCACCTGGCACGGACAAGCTGAGAACATTTCATCATACTTTAGACTATTAGAACAAAGCATACGAACGAAAGCAATGCTTTGCTGAGTTCACTCTTTTCCGTTGGAAAGGCCAACAGCTGCAAAAGAAAAGAATTGATGCTGATCACAACTGCCACGGCTTTATTTCATCAAAGGCTATATGGCGGATATACTCTATCTCAACATCAAAGATCTTTATGCTTTCTTTAGGCTTGGTCTTAAGTTATTTTGAACTACTTCACAACTTATCCAAGCTTCGGCAATCGTGATTAAGTCCTAGTTTTGCTTCAAGCGCCATCTTAGCTTTGCAAATCCGGCTGCCCATGTGATCCGGCACCAACTCCTGTGGATTGCTTTGGAGGAGTTGGATATGGAGGCAAGCAAACCTTGCAGCAAGCTCGAATCGCAACAGGCCCCCACCGTGGACATTCGCATTGGTCTGCTGAGTCCACTGCGTGGCAAACCTGGTTCTGGATGCCCACTCTCAATGCAGACTTGTTGATGTCCAAGATGCTTCGTGGAAAACACGCGCTGCAGAGAAAGGTTTCATCAGTCTTGGTGCCACGCCTCAAAGTACTGCAAGTAGTGAGGTGAACCTTCCCCGTGGAAGCCACACTCAAACTGTCCTCCCTTTATAGTGGTTGTATCGTGCTTGCAGCTCATTCGGCGGTGGTACTGGTGGAGCATCACCTTGACTTTGCGATCCATGGCTTCGTGGTGCATCCTCCAAGCTTAGTTGCGGATTGTTCCGCTGGCGGGCTCTTGAGGAAGATGCAGCTGGTGAGGAGCTTCGACTGCGGCGACGACTTGTGGAACGTGACCGCGGGGTTCTTGGTGAACGATGTCCACCCCGATTGCCACGATTTTCCGATTTCGACATCATGTAGCACAATGTCGCCACTTGCAAGATCACCATAAGGGTCATGATTTCAGCCAGCATCGACAAAGTGGAATTGGGCTCTTTGTCAAAGCTCGAGAGAAAACTTAGCAGATTCATATATATAGATATTCGGCTCTAGCTGCAAGACAATTTGGGTGTACTCACCAAAACAATCCCACGGCGTGGCTACTGCTTTAGTTAGAGCTATCAATTGGGTGATTGACGAGATTCGGCACACTGAACAAAATGTCATTCCACCCTGGTTCAAACATGATGTATCCACCTCCGGATGCTGATGGCTCGGCGCGGCTTATGGACATCACTCCACTGGCGATGACCTTGCAAAGATTCTCGGGATAGCGGCCAGTAGATGTCCAATCAACTGAGGTGAATGGGAGGTGATACGAACAACTGCATTCTTTTGCATGTTTCGAGAACTTACGAACAATCGTGGGATGTGATCCAACCCACAGGATCACTTTGGAGACTGGCACATCGAAAGAACACAACTTTGGGTATTCACAAAACAACTTTCTTCCAATGTTCTTCAACGACTTATGAAGCTGTTCACTCTTCCAATAGTTATTTCTCTTAGGCAACTCAAAAGAAAAGTAACTCGAACTTGCACAAATCTTCTCGCACAAACTGAGTAAATGGAAGAATGTGTCATGACGATGCTGCTTCAAGGACTCATTCTTATTCAGATTCTGAATGTTACTACCTCCTGTGCGCGGCAGTGAACAATGGGAAAAACTGAAACCTTTGTGCCTCGAAAGCAGCTGGATGATTTCTGGCTGATGGACCTCAAGAGGGCTATCCTCCGTGACTCTGATGATCAACCAGTTGTGGGGACACATCTTAAAGATTATGTTGCTCAATTGGCTATTGCGGTCACAGCAAGTCTCCAAGAAGATGTTCTCGAATCTGGGTGTCCGAACTTGCGATATGGATCTGGCGTCAATCAACAAGCTTCGGATGGCCTCAGGTTCTGACACACTAGATGGGCTGCCCGGCAACATATCAGGGACAGAACTGGCAGAATTGTCATTTGGTTTTACCTTTGACTCGTTTGCAGGGACTCCGGAATGACTGCTCGGCAGTAAATCCGAGTATGCTACCTGTTGAGACTTCATGGACTTGGACTTGGCGGGCGAGGTACGGATCTGAGACCTGAGAATGAGCTCATGTGCATATGCTTCAGTGGAGAGTTCACCCCTTTCAAGATACCCCATGAGAACAATGAATCGATGAAAGAGCTTTGCTCCTAACGTCTTGGTCAATGCATCAGCAATTTGACCTCCGGCATCAATCCAATTGAGTTTAATCTTACCCTGCTTGACTAGCTCTTGACAAAAATAAACACGCAATTTGACGTGTTTTGATCGCCTCTGAAGACCACTGGCTTGGCGTATCCGGATTGCAGCCTGGGAATCGCAATACATTTCGATGATGGCATCGGGTTGCTCAACACTTTGGGACACAGCCGAATCAGCTTGGGCTTTGGCAGCAAACAGGAACGATGCAAGATGAAACACCTGATTGCGCCCGAAGAAGCTTTCATGGATTGCACGCATATCGTTATCGATACCCA